TGATTTAAGCCCTCAGACTTTTAATTGACTCTTCATGGGTCTTCTTCAGCCAAATGACCAACATATGTCATGTTGGTCATTTGGCCAAGAAGACCCCCCTGGTTAGTTAAAGAAAAAGGTTATATTCAAGACCAGTCAAAAGAGAGGTACATTTTCATGTGAAAACATAACTGCTAACTCCCTCACACAACAAGAAGACTGATACTCAGCTGTCACTGTGGTGTCCGGTCTGATGATCGCAAGCAAACATGGTTGGGTTGTGGGTGTGAAAACAAAACACCCAGCAAGATGTTCACTTCTACTGGGAAACTATATAAACATGTGAATTACCAATAAGATAAATGAGGGGAGGTAGATGAAATTGATGTAAATAATAAGCTCTGCCATTCAAATCTTAACCCACCTTAACTCATCTACCACCAACATCATGAGAAGCTAAGGAGAATCATTTCATTTTGAAAATGTCGCAGATTTCTAGACATCAGTCTATATTTCTGAATAACCCAACCAGCTGTCATGTCAGTGATATTATATTATCACAAACAGGATCAAACCATTTTATAACAAAAGGTTGAGGGCTTAAGTCGCAGGGGGAGAAAACAAGCAGGCCCTTTTTTTCCTACAGTGGTTGTTGCTGTTGTCACACATCAGCATGTTCTTCCTACAAACGTGACCCAATTCTTACACACACGGACGTTTCCGAGTAAAGCGAGGCAGAACAGAAACTACAGCGTTACAGATGTTAAGGTGTTAAGGATATAATACAATGATAATTCATGAAAGCAGCGGAGGTGTTGTGTCTTGATAAGATCAATCTAATCTGGACTGTTTGGTACAATGCATCATAGTTATTAACATCACCATAACTGATACTTCTGATGTATTGTGATACTTATTTGATTTCTATTTTATAAGTCATGCCCTGCCTGCTCTACTCAAGGATAAATCCTCTTTGTTCCATGAATATCTGGGAAGAATTTCACGGCTGTTGAGTTATTTTAGTTTCCACCAACAGACATTTCCATCTCCAGAGCCACAGTAGTGTGGTTTAAAACCTTTAGCAGCACTTATTGCCAACAGGTGAAATTCCATCATCCCTATCATCATATTGACGTAAAGAAATAACAGCATTGTGTGATTAAAAATTTTAATATTGCTAAACTGCAAAACATGTGAACCAAAAATCACTTGCACTGTGGTTTTGCTCATCAAAAACGTCAGAAGGGGAAGTGAGCCTTGCCTACTCTAGCACAGTGGGGGTGGGTTTTGTTTTTTTATTTGTTGGACTGTGCCATTTCATGCTAGAGGAGAGGGGGTGGCATGGCAGTTTCATCAGTCCTGTAAGTTGTTCTGTTAACTTCCTTATTTTTCTGCAAATGCCGTTTCCTCTTTTACTCACTGATGCGGTTCTTCTTCTTCAGACAAGACGCTTCGGACGACTCCTCTCCGCCTGTCGTAGAACAACTATATGAATAATTACAGATGCAACATGGGTGCAGTTTGCAGCTGGTGTTGACTTGTCTTCAGATATAAAGACTGACGGTACTTTTCTCATGCTGCTGCAAAACTGGTGAGTACAGAGATCGCAGCAGGAGTCGACTCGAGGGAAAGTTCTGCAAATTCTTCAAATCCGACAGAGAACGATTGTGATCGTTAGGTTCAACTCTGTCTCCAGCTTCACTGCATCCCTCCGTGTGTGTGACTGAAATGTGTGTGTGTAGGTGTGTCGACAATGTATGTCTCTGAGCAGTAGTGTGTGGAGTGTGTGTGATGTCAGGAGACACCAGCACCCTGTCCTGGAGGAGCATGTCTCCCACCAGCCGCTCAGATTCCTTGGATTTTTCTCCCCCGGCAACTGTCGCCAGGAACAGCATCCTCCTGGTGAAGATCATCAAAGTGTGTTTCCTTAGCAACAGCTCCAACCTGGGCAAGAACTTCAAACTGGTCCGCTGTGAGGATGGCTGGACTGTCAAGGTATACTCTACTTTACTTTACTCTACTTTACTCTACTCTGCTCTACTTTGCTGTACTCTACTGTACTACTACTCGATTGTACTCTGCTCCACTATATTTTACGATGTTATATTCTGCTATGCTTGATGTGTATCTCAGGATGTCATTCATGTGGTGCTGTCCAGTGGTTGTGTGGGTCCAGAGATAAAACACAGCCTGTGTTACGGCCTCCTCCTCAAACACCTCAAGTCCTCAGAGAAACACTGGCTGCACCCAGACATGACAGTGTCCGAACTCACTCAGCGCTATGAACAACAGCACCTGGAGGCCGAGTGGAGGTTAGTACTTCTGTCTGGTTTTTCTTTTTGTCTTAGTCTTACTTATTTAACATGTGAATTCCTCACAAGAAAGGAGCCTTGACTTGGAGAACCTAACTCTGTTGTTTGTGTAGATATGACCTGAGGCTGAGATACATCCCATCAGACTTCATGGAGAAATTCAAAGAGGACAGGACCACAATGCTTTACTTTTATCAGCAGGTCAGTGAAGTGCCAGTGTGTGTCTGTGTCCCTGTTCCCTGTGAATGTCCGTTAGATAAGGACTGGCCTGTGTGTTTATGATAGTTGTAGTCAATGAAACGTGTGTTCGTGTGCTTACCCACAGGTACGAAGTGACTACATGCAGCAGTATGCCTCAAAGGT